TTTCACAAACTTGGGTACGACACAAATGTACATTTTTTTTGTGAAAATCTTGACGGTAGAATCCATCTGGGTTTTTTTTCTTTTTAGTTCGTTAGTTGATCATTAAAAAATATAAATAAAAACAATCCTTGGGGGTTGAGTTAAACATTGCTCAAGCCCCCAAGCTTCATGCTTGATATAAGGCTAGTTCATAATAAGAAATAGTCAAAATGGTAAATTTAAAGAACATGAGAGGTAATTAAACTAAGTGACTGAGTACTGGAGTTAGTGCATTTACAGTAACCGTTACAAAAATCAACTATCATTTTACTTACAAAGTTCCCAGTGGAGCTACGAAAATGCATTAAATGCCATGGCATAACTCTCTAGTGCTGTAGCTAGAGGATTAGATCACACACATATAAATTCCACATGTAAACACACCCAAGCTTAATCTCAACAGCCTCACGCCACTGTTGAAAGAACAATGGGAGTGCCGCCTCTTGTATAGCACTTTTCATATGCAGTACTTAAAAGCATTTTACAAAGGAGGTCAGCATCATTATTCCCATTTTGCAAATGGGGAAACTGAGGCACACAGTAGTGACATTCACATGAAACCACAAAATCATGTGCATCATGCGTGAGTGCAGCTTGACAGCTAGAAGTTGAATCCTATGTATACATGGACTATAACACTCATTGATCAGCATTAAGGCTCCACATATCCCTCTCATAGGAGCACACCTACGTTGTCATCCTAATCTACTGTATGCTCTCCATATATACCATGCATGGAATCTGCTGTTTTGGAATAGCAATTTATTTCAAAAGAAGTGCTGTGTAGACAGTGGCACATTTCATAGAATCATAGAACACAAGAACTGGAAGGGACCTTGAGAGGTCATCGAGTTCCGTCCCCTGCTCTCATGGAAGGAAATAAGCTATTCCAAAATTGACCTGAAATAAGCTATGCAATTTATGTAGCTCAAATTGCAAAGCTTATTTTCCGCTATGGGTGCAGTGTAGATGCACCCTAAGGGTACGTTTACACTACAACACTATTTCAAAATAACTCGCATTATTTTGAAATAACTTAGTCCACGTCCACACAGCAGGCAGTTATTTCGAAATAATGTCAAAGTACTGTCAAGCTGTATTCTCACTCCTGTAACCCTCTTGTACGAGGAGTAAGGGAAGTCGGAGGAAGAGGGCTCTATTTCAAAATAAGTGCTCTGTAGATGCTCCCAATTTTGAAATAAGCTATTTCAAAATAAGCTACGGAATTAATGTAGCTTAATTTGCTTAGCTGATTTTGAGCTAAGCCCTCCTGGGTAGACGCACCCTAACAGAAGCAATCTCCTGCTCTGTCTACACAGTCTCAGAGAAATTCAGTTAAAAATCCCACTGCAGTTTATTTACACTTGTTCTTCCCACAGAATTATTATTATATTATCCATAGGCCATATTATTTACAGCTTCAGTTTCTCCTCAGTTCTCTGCTGAGGAGAGAAGAGGGACGAGATCTCTCTCCCCAGAGATCCTTCCTGGTTCTGATTCTGCTAACCTACCTGTCTTCCCTCTTATGGTGCCTTTTTTCTTGTGTAAATGGGCCAGTTTGTCAGTCCTCCTACCACCCATTCTACTCCACTAATTAGACCTCTATTAGGTCCGCCCTAAGGGAATTAATTGGTGTTTAAGTGAGCAAAGTGCTGACTCAGCTGTTGGTTCCCAGTGCTCTGTCACAAGGAGTCAGAAAGTTCTGGGGCTAATCAAGGACTGGAAAAAATTATTTTCCATGTCTGGTTAAGAAATAGTTAGAATCTCACAAGAATAGTAAATGTCTCAAGACTTCTACTACTGAGATAGCAAAGATTTTTCAGAATCAGTTATTCTGCTTTACGAAGCTGAAATCTCACAAGAGCAGTGCATGAGATTGCAGTACCAGCCCCATTTTTTTTTCATTTCTATCTTCAAAGATGCATCTGAGGGCAGATTTAGGGCCTTTAACACTATTATGAGGAAGGTTTAAATTACAAGTGTGCACAGTTGTGCCCCATGTGCTTTAACACTATTATGAGGAAGGTTTAAATGACAAGTGTGCACAGTTGTGCTCCATGTGCTCTCTCTCACTCTCTCACACACATATACAAACACAGAGTTCCCTTTGACATACTTCTTCTAGGATTTATGTAAATCTCTACCCTTTGGCCATCTCATTGCTTCGTGTGTTCCAGGAAACTCTCCACAAAAAGATAATTTGAAAAAAATTGATCTGTTTTTCATGAACCCATGATAAACCATTCCTGGATTCATATGATCAGCTGTATAATTCCACAGATTCTGGTCATTTAAAAATAAATAATAGCTTTATATCCAGTTCCAAGATAGATCTTTCACTCTCCCCATCCATTCACTTGTCTTCAAAATAGGGTTGTGAAATGCTTAACCAGTAAACATAACTGGCCCTTGCTGGTGAACTCTGCCAGCTGTGTTAGGCTGTAGCAGCCTCAGCCACAGAGGGACCAACGCACTGGGACTCCATAGCAATGGCAGAACCTCATTACCATAGCTACAGCGTGGACATGAGGTAGGCCAGGCAGCCGGCCCTCAGTTAACCGGTTAAGCACTACTGTAGTATTTAACCAGTTAATTGTTTTAACATCCCTCGCTTGCTACTACTTTGAACATCACTTACCCGTTTCTGTCTATTGCTTGTTGTTGGATGGTATTTTTCCTTTCGTCCTGTACATGATTGACAAAGGATTGGGGCGTGTGTGAAGCAGATTGACAAAGTTTATTAAGTGAATGTTTGACAGCAAGTTTGAATCACAAGTTTAACACTTACGGAGTGAATAGGGAATTTTTGGGTTGGGGAGAGGGTGGGCACAAAATTTGCATAATTTACATCTTGTACCCAGTGGGAGTGATCCACACATGCAGTGGACCTGCATCACTCTGAATACACAAATTGCGCCGCATACATGACTCGAGAAGTACATATGCAAATTCTGGTGGATGACGGGGGGAGGGGGAATTACAGCAGGTGGTTTTTCAGATACAAACAGAACATAAGGAGTATGTCCCACATTGCCCCGGATTCAGGTAAGTGGTTGTTTATAGTAACAGAGGCTATATTTACTCATGAGGACGCCTTCCCTTGGGAGTAGGCATACCATTGGTAATAATACAGACTATATTATTAGGGTAAGTGCGCGCCCCCCAGTGTGGCCTATACTTATGTCCCCAGTTATTTTTGAGGGTAGTAAATATATTATTGCTCGGGTGATGAAGAGTGTGCTTTCCCCAGCTCTGACCCTCACCAGGATATCTGTGGTGCCCTCCGTAGTAGAGCCCACGTCCGCCAGGAATGTAAAGCGGGTGGTTCCCTGGGCCATATCCCACACAGGCTAAATAAATCACCTAGGGCTAAATTCTGTTTGACTTAGTCATTCAGGGTATGTCTACACGACATGGCTCCGTTGACGGAGCCATGTAGATGAGCTTTGTAGACATAGCAAAATGAAGCGGAGATTTAAATAATCGCCACTTCATTTACATCAAAATGGCTGCTGTGCTGTGCCGATCAGCTGTTTGTTGGCTCAGTGCGGTAGTCTGGATGCTCCACGATCATCATCAAAAGCCTTTATCGACCACCCCGTTATGCCTCGTGGGATTAGATTTACTGGGGCGGTCGACAAAGGCTTTTGATGTCAACCGCGGAGCGTCCAGACTTACGCGCTGTGCCGACAAACAGCTGATTGGCACAGCGCGGCAGCCATTTTGATGTAAATGAAGTGGCGATTATTTAAAACTCCGCTTCATTTTGCTATGTCTACAAAGCTCATCTACATGGCTCCATTGACAGAGCCATGTAGCGTAGACATACCCACATTGTGTTGCAACTGGATCCCTTCAACTGCGTCTCTCCATGACCTCTGAGCTCAGCTCAGATATAACAGAGAACCAAGGCCATCCAGAATCTTCAGGATCAAAGTTGTTTTATAAAGTTAAGAGATCATTAGGTTTATAATTTATTTATATTCCCAACCATTGTAATTGGCATGTTCCTAATTGTTTTTATTATTCACTGTACGTGGTTGTAGCTGTAGAGCATGGAATTTCTGCTTGCAGTCCCTAAGCAATGTTCAAGCCATGTGACATTTGTGTGGGCTTATTTGTTACTGGGAGTATCTCGTTGTGGGCACATGACACCAACATTCTGGGATCTTCACTGATTGGCTGTTGGTTACCAGCCTGATTTTAAGTTGTTAGTATTAACCTTCAGTGCCTCATGTGGCTGGGGACCTACGAGCCCCAGATACCATCTCCTTCCCCAGACCACACTTGCAGTAAACAGAAGTGTTCCCACTAGACTTCCTTTGGGTTTGAAAGAGAGGCAATGTCTGGTTAAAGGGGATTACAGGGTTAGGCGTTTACTTCACTCCTGTCCCCTCTTTGCTCAAAAATAGTCCCAGTCTTTTGATCTTCAGGTAATGTTGCATGGCTCATCTCTGTTCCCAGGTTTTGTAGTGTGTGTGTGTATGGGGGGGGAGAGGGAGATCGGCACTGCAAAAAGTGGCCAGAAGGTGAAAATCCGTGGCTGGAGAGGGTGCCCCCCTTTTTAACAGGGCGAGAGGGTACATCTATGTTTATTTGTGCATTTTAATGTTTGACAAATGTGCCCGGAGCCTTGGATACCTGCCTCTGTCTACATCTAAATAAATATTAGAGAATAATGGGCCTGACTCTGCTCTGTTCAATTAGTTTTAGGCTAATGGCAATGCTGTTAACACAGAAATATAGGCATTGCCACACTGGATCAGACAGTACCACCATCTGTCTCATTCAGTATCCTGTCTTTGACTGGCCACCAACAGATGCTTCTGAGAAAGATTCAAGAAACTCTGCAGCAGTCAAACATGGGATAATCTAATATAACTTTGGTGTGACACAGCAGAGTCTGGCTGAATTCCTGTAAAAAGAAAAGAGTTGATTTAATTAGCCCTTTCATTTCTCAGGAAGTTAAAAAAGCTGATGAGGAAGCTGAAGGATGACAGGACTGAGGAAAAGGAAAGTGACTCCAACCATTCAAAGCTCCCTCAGCAGTGGGATCTCGACTACATTTTGGAACCTTTCACTGGACTGACTCCAGAGTACATGGAAATGAGTAAGATCTGAGTTTGTGAGGGTCTGTTATCTTAAAATCTTCTCTCCCCTCCCCTTCGTTTTCAGTGAATTTTAAAAGCAACCATAATTCACCAGAGCACCAGGGTAGTAGAAGTGCCACGTTAGGCTGAGAAACAGAGCACCAGGGTAGTAGAAGTGCCACATGTTAGGCTGAGAAAACATACATATTTTAAGTACTGTCTTGGCTTCATGAAATGGGTTCAGAGTGGATTACACCACCACCAGAATGCCACTGGGGAAGTGCAATATTAATTATGAGGCCTCCAAAATATGATTATTTGTATTGCAGTCATTTCTTAAGACTCCAGCTGAGATCACAGTGCTATTGCACATGGAATAGGACACACACATAGTAGGAGAAAACTTCTGCCCTGAATAGTTCATCCTATATATAAACAAGACAGATTGTGGGAAGAAAGAAGAATTATTATTCCCATTTCACAGAGAATAAAACTGAGGCACACAGCCATTCAATGACTTGCCCAAGGTTATATAGGACAGCTGCAGCAGAACCAGGAATTGATCCCAGGTTTTAGGTTAGTGGTTTAAACAATCATATCCTACTTGTCAAGCAGTGTGTACAACCACAGTGAAGAAGAGAGGGGGTGGTCATGTATTCCTCTTCCCACATTCTTTGGAGTGACTGATGCCATTGCTTGTGCTTAAATTCCTAAAGTGCTGGCACTCAGCCATATGCATCGTGGGTCTGATTCTTCTCTTGCACCAGCGTAAAATGGGAGTAATTCTACTGGATTCAATGAAGTTCAGGCCCTATATTCCTAACAGCTTTATGCAATGCATAAATGTGGTACATTCCAACTTCCATTGACTGATGAGTTAATGTCTCCATATGGCTAAACAATTCTATCATCCAGAGTGTTAGTTCAGTTAGGCCAATACTGTTATTGTGACTTCAGCTACCGTTATTGCACCAATACCACTGGCCTTCAGACATTTGGAGGTTAAGAACCAAGCCCCCAGTAGCCTCCTCCTCTCAACAGAAAATAAGTTTGTAAATAGTAAGTACTTATAAGAATTGAGCATTGTCTGTGGTGACAGCATTCATGGTTGTGTTAGAGGTGGTAAGCAATGCTTTGTGCTAAGTTTTCAGTTGGGCTACACAGCTGTAATAGAGAACAGAATCTGGCCCATGTGGCAGATGGACAGTGCAGTTTGCACAACAGAACAAAAGGTGTTCTATCTGCCAGAATTTTA